CCTTCAGCCCAGACAAGATCCCCCTACCTGGAACCAAAAGGGTTACACCTTTAACTTTTCCAAAAACATTTTCCTGCTTCTACGCTTTCCAGTGTGTTGTTTGAGCTATCTTGCTGTTCTTTTTTTTTTTTTCTTTTGAGAAAACACTAAAGATGTTCTTCCTAAATTAATTGTTCATTTTCAGTGAATTGGCTGTTTCAGAAACTGTAAAGCAAAAGAATCTAAGGACAAACTGAATTTCCAAATGAAGATTAGCTATGGAAGCTGGACAGGAAATTGATTTCTGGGGTTGTAGTTGTTTGCCTTTTTCTTTAGAAGTTTGCTAGGGATGGGCGTGTCAGATTTTGAACATCCCTTTAAGGCTGCTGATTCAGTGTCTTTCTTCAAGCGTGGGGACTTACAGTTGCCATAAATCTCACATCTCTAACTAGAATACTTCCTGTAAGAATTCTATCCTGCAGTTGCACAGAGTTTGATAAACGTGCTAACATTTACAGTACACACTTATACGTGTAGTCTCTTGCAGCCTTCCTGGTATTCCTTTAACTTAGTGTTCAGTTTTATGTGATGGGGAGGTTTTGCTTTTTCACTGTTGTTTTGTAGGCCGGGTAAGATGGGGGTCTTTGCTCTTTAGCCCAGGCTGGCCCCAGACTCTTAGTGATTCTCCTGCCTTGGCCTCTGACAAAGAACTGGGATTGCCGCTGTGTGTCACCGGGCCTGGCTTGTATTACTCAGTGTTATAGATGAGTAATTGGAGGCTCTAAGAGGTGACTAAGCATGCAGAGCGAGGGAGAGCTCACTGGAAGGCTAACATTTAAGAGCGTGTAAAAAGTCCTCAGTAATTAGTGTTTATGATGGTACTCCTTAGATGTGAAATGCGTACTAAAAATCCGTAGTGAACAGAGTGTCATACCTTTATGGAAGTGTGGGAGCAGGTGCTGGAGAGATGGCTCAGTGATTAAGAGTGCTTGGTGTTCTTTCAGAGCTCCCGAGTTTCCAAAACCTACACAGGGCGGCCCTAAATCACCGGCGACTCTAGCTCCCATTCTGACTTCTGGTCTCTCTAAGACACAGGAATATGCACATACAGACAAACAGACATACCACACATCATATACACACACCACATGGCATACACATGTATAGACACAGACATAAAATTGCACACACATACCCCACATGGTATACACATAAACAGACGCAGATACATACACACGCACACACACACACACACACACACACACTAGATGATATATGCATATACAAATACACACAAAGACACACATCACATGGCATATACATATACAGACACATACATGCATACATATACACATAAATTTAAAAAATACATAAAAATTATGTGCAGGATGGGTGTATGTATTCTTTTGTCTCTGTCTCCAGCATAGTGACGCCCACTTTTTGTTTGATGTCTGGCCATTTGTGGAAAGTAGCCTTATAAGTTGTGAGATTCCAACAGCGATACACTTCCTCCTATGGCCTATAGCTAGTTTCTTTCCCCTGAAAATGTTAAAATACTGTACTTTATCCTCCCCCAACCTTAAATACTAACTGGTTTAGACTGCTTGCATATTTCAGCTTCACTCTGTATCTTTTTCAGTATTAAGAAATCTCAACCACCTTACCATGAATAGGTATAAATTCATAATGACTCTGACCACAAATTACTGCTGAGAAAAAGAACAGACTTTAGAAATCATATTAGTTTAGACGGCAAGACAGATAACTATATTCCACACAAACTAATAGATGATATTTTTAAATTCTTCAGCTGAGCTAAGTGGTTCAAGTTATATAAAAGGCTAGTGAGTTATCTTTCTCTCTCTCTCTCTCTCTCTCTCTCTCGTGTGTGTGTGTGTGTGTGTGTGATTGTGTGTGTGCGTGCATATCTATACACACACACACACTCACATGAGCTCACATGTACCCCCACTTGGATGTGGGTGTGTAGAGGCCGAGAGTCTGCCTAATTATTTGGCTGTTTGAGACAGATTCTCACGGTGCAGCCTTGGCTGGCTTGGCACTCACTATGCAGACCTGACTGACCTTAAACACACAGGGACCTACCTGCCTCTGCCTCCTAAGTGCTAGATTAAAGGTGTGTGCCACCACACCTGCCGTCTCCATCCTACTTTTGAGACAATGTTTTCAATGTGGTTTTGACTAGACTAGCTAGATAGCAAGCTCCAGGGACCCTCTCCTCTGCTTCCCAGAGCTGAGATCACAAGTGTGCACGACCTCTCTCTCTGCTGCAGATTATAAGCGTGCACCACCTCTCTCTCTGCTGCAGATTACAAGCGTGCACGACCTCTCTCTCTGCTGCAGATTACAAGCGTGCACCACCTCTCTCTCTGCTGCAGATTACAAGCGTGCATCACCTCTCTCTCTGCTGCAGATTACAAGCGTGCATCACCTCTGTCTCTGCTGCAGATTACAAGCGTGCACGACCTCTCTCTCTGCTGCAGATTACAAGCGTGCACGACCTCTCTGCTGCAGATTACAAGCATGCATCACCTCTCTCTCTGCTGCAGATTACAAGCGTGCACGGCCTCTCTGCTACAGATTACAAGCGTGCATCACCTCTCTCTCTGCTGCAGATTACAAGCGTGCATCACCTCTCTCTCTGCTTCAGATTACAAGCGTGCACAACCTCTCTGCTGCAGATTACAAGCGTGCATCACCTCTCTCTCTGCTGCAGATTACAAGCGTGCACGACCTCTCTCTCTGCTGCAGATTACAAGCGTGCATCACCTCTCTCTCTGCTGCAGATTACAAGTGTGCATCACCTCTCTCTCTGCTGCAGATTACAAGCATGCGTCACCTCTCCAACTTTAGAATACAAGTGTGATCACCACTCTCTGCTTCAGATTACAGGTGTGATCACCACTCTCTGCTTCAGATTACAGGTGTGATCACCACTCTCTGCTTCAGATTACAGGTGTGATCACCACTCTCTGCTTCAGATTACAGGTGTGATCACCACTCTCTGCTTCAGATTACAGGTGTGATCACCACTCTCTGCTTCAGATTACAGGTGTGATCGTCACTCTCAGATTTTTACCTGTGCTGGGGATCCCAACTCAGGCCCTCACACTTGCACAGCACTCAACACTCTGTATCAGTTACTTTTCTGTTGTTCCCATAAAATACCGTGACAAGAGCACCTTAAGGAAGAAAGGGTTTATTTTAGCTCCTGTCTCCTGTCTATCACGGTGGGGATGGCATTGCACAGTGGCAAGAGCAGAAGCCAGTGGTGGCTGGCAATATTGTCATCTACACACAGGGAGCAGAGAGCAAGAGAACAGCAGATAGGGTGAGGCTCACGACTCTAAAAGCCCACCCCCGGTGACATACTTCCTACAGCAGCTCCACCTCCTAATGGTTCCACAATTTCCCAAGCAGCCCCGCCCACCGGGGGCCAGATGTTCAAATACCTGTGCCCTTTCTCATCCAAACCATTACACCATCCGAGTCATCTCTCTAGCTCAAAGGTGAATTACTACAAGTCACTGCACAGCCAGGTGTGGTAGCAGACACCTGTAATCCTAAAATCCTGGATTTGGAGTCTGGAGAGTCAGGGGAACATGAGCAATTGTGGCTACACAAGACTGTCTCTAAGTAAGTGAATAAATACATAAATGTAAAAGACACTGTATATTTATATAAAATACATATACACACAGACATGACAAATTTTATAGAAAACTTTTACTTGTCTTAGCATATGTGAAAAGCATGCATATGATGAACAAACAATATTTGTATTTGTTGTTTTAAGATGGGCGAGCACTGAAGTATTCAAACGGAACAGATTATACTTTTAATTACATCCAAACAGAATTCTAAGCTGATTTTTAAAAATTTGTTGGCTGTTCTTTGTATTCTCCCATTAATTGCCAGAGTCCAAAAAGATATCAAGATTTGTAAATAAATTACCGTAACACACCACTAGATCCAAGTTGCTTTCATTACAGAGAGCAGCTAGGAAAGGAGAAATAAAGGCGAGAGGCGTGTCTCATGTTAATAAAACATTCTTTGATGTTGTAAAGGCTAAACCAAAAAAGACTTGTTTTTCTCACATATGTATGTATATATGTGTATATATATTGCATATGCACACACATATAAAATCTTTTGGTCATCATGGGTTTGAGTGCCAAAAGCACCAGATTTCAACACCCAAAACTTTTATTTATTTATTTCTTGTAATGATGTCTCGCAACTCAGTGGCCCTTTACAGGTTATCTGCTTAATCTTTTATTCTATTATGCGCAACAAGAGAAGAATGTTAGCCAATATGTATTTATTTCAGCCTGAAGATTAAATTGCCCTTCTCCCTGGATACAGATGGCTATACACATATCCCCTTTAAGTTGGAAGGTTCTAGAAAACATGCATAAGTGAATATAGCTAGAGATTCAGAACTGTGGAATATCACAGGAAATAGCAAGGCAGTATATATTTATTATTAAATTATTTTTATTTTATGTGTACATGTGCATGCCTGTAGACATGTATGTGTACTATGTGGTTGTCTGGTGCTTGCAGAGGTCAAAGGGTACCATCAGATTCTCTAGAACTGGAGTTACAGGCAGTTGTGCGACAGCTTGTGGGTGCTGGGAACGGAACCAGGGTCCTCTGCAAAAGCAGCAAGTGCTCTTACCCCCTAAGCCTCCTCTGTCTGCAGCCTCACTGTGTGTGTGTTACATGTTTCTTTATGACTCATGCTCAGGAAGCAGGAAGTCTGACGCAGTAGGCAGAGTTTGCCGCTGTCATACACGCACATAATCTCTACCGCACGACCCCAAGCTGATACAGATTCCAGGTTTTCCATAAATACCTTTGTTCCTTGTTAGATTCCTTCCTTCCTTCCTTCCTTCCTTCCTTCCTTCCTTCCTTCCTTCCTTCCTTCCTTCCTTCTTTTCTTTTTTTTTCTTTCCTCTTGACACAGGCTAGAGTTATTCAGGAAGAGGGAACCCCAACTGAAAAATACCTCCAGCAGAGTTCCTATAGGCAAGTCTTAAGGATTTTCTTGATTGGTAGTTGGTGGGGCCAGCCCACTGTGGGAAGTGCCATTCCCTGGGAAGGAGGTTCTGAGTTGTATAAGGACATGGCTTGACCAAGTCCTGAGGAGCAAGCCAGTACACAGCATTCCTCCGTGGCCTCTGCACTGGCTCCTGCCTTTCCTCCCCTTCATGGTGGACTAAGAACTGTAAGTTGAAGCAAACTCTTTCGTTTCCACGTTGCTTCTGCTCATGGCGTTTTATCGCAACAGTAGAAACCCAAGTGAGACACCTGTAGCAGAACTTCATAACCTAAGTGAGCAGCAACGGAACAACGCTTATTGACTTTCTTGTGTGTGTGGTCAGGGTTAGATACTCAAAAAATTTAAGATATTTCTCTAAAATTCTCGATTACGGAGCAAGTCTTAGAACAGCCAGGGCTACACAGAGAAACCATGAGAAACAAAACAACAACAGAATCTCAGTTATGGGGAAATGTCTTCTTTTTCGTCTTTCTTCTGTTTCTTCCTCCTTCATCTTCCTCCCCCTTGCCACAGATCAGATATGAGCAGGCAGTTTCTCAATGCTGTCCCACTACAGGCCTCACTCATTTCAAAGGCTGTATCTTATCTCCTCGTTAACCAAGCTCTCCATCCTAGAGACGTGTGTACAGGTGGCGTTAGCATAGACGGTAATTCTTAATCCTTGCTCTTGGTGCAGAACACTGGGGCATGGCTTTGATCTTAGGTCTCAGTGCTGATGGTTTTTGAAAGTGATGACATGCCACAGGTGTGTCTGGGAAACAGAAGCCAGATGAAAATGGAACGGAGAGCAGACTCCGCAGGTTTTGGAGGTGTTTGGGGGCAGCGTTGCAGCAGGACTTTTTCTTCTGGTACGTTAAATGACAGTCTCTAAGACAGAATTTCAGACAGGAGAGGCAGTCACAAGTTGTGTGGTTTATGAGTGTATGGGCCTGATAAAATACCCTGAACTTTAAAGAGCAGGTGGTCCTGAATGGATTTCTAACTCTCAAGGTTTTAGCTAGACCTTTCTTCATGGGAATGGATGTAACTGACAAACCTCCAGCCACTTGCTGCTGTAGGCAATTGTTTTTCAGCCTCTTTAAGTAATGAAACATGTTTAGTTTGTTGTTACTGTTGCTGTTTTTAAGAAGGAGAAAGACTCTGGCTGGCTTTGAAGCTCTCAAACCCTGTAAGATGGACCAATCAAATCAAGGTCCCACAGTAGTATTTCTTTAGTAATTTCTTTTCTTTATGACCTCTATCCCTCCCTCCCTCCCTCCCTCCCTCCCTCCCTCCCTCCCTCCCTCCCTCCCTCCCTCTCTCCCTTCCTTCTTTCCTTTCTCCCTTCCTTCCTTTCTCCCTTCCTTCCTTCCTCCCTCCCTCCCTCTCTCCCTCCTTTCCTTCCTTTCTTCCTTTCTCCTTCCCTCCCTCCCTCCCTCCCTTCCATTTTTCTGGATTTGAATTTGATCTCCGGTAGGAAATCAAAGGACTTTGTCTCTGGAATCCCTTGTTTTACATGCAGATGGCATGTTAATGAACTCATTACTGTGCATTTTATCCGGCTCTGGACACATTTGTGACATTATTTTTCAAAACAAAATGGGGTTAGGCAGTTGGTTGATTGAGCTGGATGAGAACTGGGGAATTCTCAAAACACTACTAACCTACTCCAGGTGGCTGCAAACTGTCCTGTGAATCGACTACCTCCTCAGGAAAGACATTTGATTTCCTTATGTTCCTAAACACTTCGGAACCGCCTATCTCCCAGGGTGGACAGCCAGGCCCCATTCCAAGACAGACTCAGGGCTTTCTTTTGGGTCCTCTTTGCTAGTGTGGGCATCTGTGCATTCTTGCACGAGACTTTGTTTCTTTACCACCTTTCCCACCAGAGAGGAGGCAGACTCACTGTGGCCATGTGTGACAGACTGTGAAGATTCATCATGGCGCATGCGGTTGTAGTAGGTGCTCTGCTTTCTGTGGAGGAGGTTATCTGAAAGCATATCATAAAACACATATTGAACTGCTGTGGGGAACAGGCCAGAACCAAGTCAGAAAACACTTGGAATCTAATTCTAGTCCTGAAGGGAAGTCAAATGGCAACTCTGATTAAATTTGTCTTTCTAATCAAATATTAGCCATGGGCTAATCATTTAATCTCACTACCTTATTTTGCCCATCTGTTAAATAGGAATTTACCGATAACAGCTGTATTTGCCAGTTCATTGCATGTAACTCATTAAAGGGAGCAGGGTTTTGTGAATATGTGCACTAGAAGACAATAGCAACTTCTCTGTTTTAAGATGTAGTTATAGGGTCTCTTGTCCACTTTGAAAGTGTTTTTAACCATGTCCTTGGCATGTCATCTCCAGTGTATGTGTGTGTCTGGAGGTGACATTTGATCCAAAATAATAGGTAACCCTCAAATGATTTATTTGGGCTTCAGAAGGTATTGTGTAATTTTAAAATTGAAGGTAATAATGCTTTTGTTAGGCAGATGGTAGATGACATTTGTAATTCCATAAACTGAGATCAAACGGTTGATAGAAGATAGTTCGGGAAAGGAATGAACAACTGCTGAAAAAGTTTATGGATCAGGCATGTATGTGCATGTGTATGTGTTCTCTTGTGTGTGTGCGTACACACAAGAGTGCGTGTTACTCCCAGCAGGTGGTGCTGAAGCAGTCCTATTCCCACATTAGCAGTGGGTAAAGCTGGAAGTAGAGGATTAGTCACAGTGACCCTTACCAAGGTCAAGTCACTGGGACAAGGTCACACAGCTAGTGTCTGGACAGTGGCAACTCTGAGGCCAGAGCCTTATCAAGGTCCCCACAGTGTCCTGCAGGACAGCATGTTGGGATTAGAGTTTAGGCACAGCATCCGCTGGTCTACTGGTCTTCAGTAAAGTAACCAAGTTGGTTGGTCTGGGCACTTGAAACCATGCTGACATTGAGTATTGAAAATGTGGAGCTGGAGAGATGGCTCAGAGGTTAAGAGCACTGACTACTCTTCTAGAGGACCTGAGTTCAATTCCCAGCAACTACATGGTGGCTCACAACCACCTTGAATGAGATCTGGTGCTCTCTGCTGGCATGCAGAAGATTGTATAATAAATAAATAAAATATTTTAAAAAATAAAATAAGAAGTATTTAAAAATGAAAGAAAATCTGTGATCACCTTGGGAGACACTGATCAAGCTATTTCAGTTTACACAGGAAAATAGTTGTGTCTTCTTGCCAAGACACTTCTTTAAGAGGACTGAGCATTTGTCTTATTTTGCCTGACTATTGGGGGAAGAAGGAATTAGCTGGTAGTTAACAGCAGCTGAGCGCAGAGCTTCACTGATGTTGGTTTTCTTTCTCCAAGCCTATGTGTGAGCTAGAGTGGTGTCATGAAGATGGCCAGGCCTAGCTCCACCGAATCTGCTGCTTTGTTTATGGAACAAACTGGGGAAAGGGACTAAATAGTCAGCATCTTATGTCTTCAGATTTGGGGATCTTAGAGCAGTGTCTTCTTTCTTTCTTTCTCTTTCCTTCTTTCCTTCTTTCTTTCTTTCTTTCTTTCTTTCTTTCTTTCTTCTTCTTCTTCTTCCTCTTCCTCTTCCTCCTCCTCTTCTTCTCCCCCTCCTCCTTTTCCTCTCTCTCCTCCTCCTCCTTTTTCCTGTGTTCCTCCTTCTCCTCATTCCTCCTCTTTTATCAAGAGACTTAGCATACCTCATTAGCACTGATAAAATAATGTGAGCCAAGCTCTGGATTGGTTAGTATAATTTTTCTTTACATTTTCTAAAAATATCCCCAGTTGTGAGTGACTCTCATTTATCAAAAGAGCCTCACCAGATCTACAGCTATTTTTTGCCTTCGTTTTCTGAGAGACAAACCTTTGGCTTCAGTGTATTTTAATTTCATTTGACCCACTTTACTTCAGGTAGCTTCAAATGAGTACAGCCTCTTCTGACTTTTTCCATGGTCTTTGCAGGGAAACAAGTTAAAGATCACGAGTGTTTATAAACTGAGTCTTGCGAGTCTTAACTCCAACTCAAGAGGGAGACTGTAGGGCAACAAAACAAAACACATATTCCAGGGGCCAGAAAGATGGCCCAGGAGGCAAAATGCTTGCTGAGCAAAACTGACAAACTGAGTTTGGATCCCCAGAAGCTGTATAAAAGCCATAGACAGCAGTGTGCAATTGTGCAATCTCCATGCACCTCTACTGGGAAACAAGAGGCAGAGGCAGGAGAATTACTAGAAGCTGGGAGTCACCTCGCCTGGCATTTTCAGCTGTGAACAGGGAGAGAACCTGCCTCAATTGAGGTAGAAGGTGTGGACCAACACCTGCGGTTGTCTTCTGACCACACAGATACCATGGCACATGGGACTGACACACATAGAAAGGAGAGAGAGAAGAAAAGTCTAGATTCTAGGGTGCTGCTCATTAATACATCAGCACGGATGTGATTTGTGAGACCTGTGTCTTCACACAACGCTGCTTCGTATAAGGAGCCCTCCTGGATTTCCCACCTGCATTCCAGATGCCTCTACAGAAATCCTCCATTGTCCAAATAGAATATACATCCTGGAAGTGAGATCTTGTCTCATTCATTTCTCTGTATAGATGATTGACTGTGTGGCACAAGATATTTTTTTTTGTCGAATGACTAAACAAACAAGTGAATGAGGGAATGAACGAATAAAGTGTTACCTGCAGAATTCTGGGTCTATTGTAGTCTGAACTTCTGTTAGCTTATTCCAGGCTAGTTGAGCTGCAATTTTCTGGCCTATGCGAAGGGGGACTCTCAGTCTGCTGTTAGCTGTTTGCGTCTCTGGATTACAGCTAGCTCCCTAAAATAAGTTTTACCTCAGTGACCCCTGATGGGCCATTCTTCATTCCTAATAATGTGAGCATCTCTCTGTCCTGGGAACTATACTCTCATCATAGGAAACATGCCCCATGTTACAGGT